CATATCCAGACGCGCTACTTGTCTCACTTCTGGTTGTTCTCTACATCTGACTGCCTGTTCGCATGACAAAGACCATCCTCGAATGGGTGCTCGTCCTTAAAGCAGTACCTGACAGTAAATGACGGTGCGATTTAGGACCAGAAAAGTCATGCTCCTTCAGTAAATTCTATGTGATGAGCATCATCTTTGCCAAAAACAACCAAATTTAAATACACCGAACGTGGTTTCAAACAGAATAATTGCTTATTGACATCAACAAATGAAACAAATAAACATTCAACATTAACGTACCACTGGTGGATCTCCAAGAATCACTTTCTCCGGATGAGTTATTCCGGTGCCATGGTAATGGAGAGCTCGAGAATGTTGAACGCCTTAAAACATCTCTTACATACTCCCTTTTTCCAGGCAGCACATCTCAAAATGTTCAAAACGTACTCTGCTTCGGGATGTTGTTGGACAGAGCGGCTTGAAGCAGCAAACGCCGCACTCGATAATGAGATCGGTCCATTAAAAGGAAGAACGGGTGCGATTATCGCAGCACGAGAAGCATCCTAAAAACTGGTCAACTGCTCTGTACGTCATCGAATCCCACAACTGCCGTACAATGATAAACAGCCTTATAAGTGAAATTCATTTTTAAAGTGAAAGCAAGGAGAAGAAAACACCGCAATAGCTTACAAACGGAAAACAAAAGCAAAATGGAAACCTAATAAAAGTTATATGCAGAAAAAATAGAGCAGTTCTCCTTCGCGTCAATACGGGCGTAGGTAGAATCGCATGAAAGGCCTGGGCTACGACGAATACGTAAGGAGGTGTCCACCTCATTCGGGCCACCGATGCCCCTTCACGAAACTATGTCGCGATGACGTTTGTAGCACGCCTTGACTACAAGATGTTTCAGGCTAGTAGTAGTTCTGTCAGCACAACTCTTCCCATCTACTTGGCCCCTACACGAAAAAAGCGCATATAGTCGATATGTCAATGGCATCTTGTTGATGTTCCATTCTGTGATCACAGGGGCGAGCCCACCTCACATAGAATGATGAGAATAGCTTCCCACTCAACTTCGTGGTGGCAGCGGGCGCAAGCCGTTATCAGAAAATGCGATATCGCTGATGAGTATCAATGGTGAAGATCGGTGTGTGAAGAACGAAGTTCGTTGTTATAAAAAACAGCGATAATTTTTGAAACTTTTCCTGTATAGACAGTGAGGGAAAGCTATCACTCAAAATATGAAAACACAACTTCCAAAAAGCGGGTAAAACATTTCTAGAAAAGGAACATTCCGCCATCAGCTTGTCATCAGTTCCGCCACCAGCTTGTCATCAGCTTTATTACAATTTCGCAGATGAGAAGGACAAAAATGTGTGGGGGGAAAAATAACCCTATTGTCTACCGATGCTTAAGATCATCATCATAAAATTGAGCGTACCATTAATTATTTCGAGGGAGGGGGGGGGAGGGGGGCCAAGCGTAACACAGAAAAACGAAAGGCATATAGGCCACCAAATCTCGCTCATTTTACAGAGCCAAAAAACCAACAATGAAGTTTTAAAGAAGTTTACTTACAACTTGTTCCAAGTATTCGACTATACTGGACTTCCTTTTCCGTGTCTCTTTGCGTGGAAGCATTTCTTGAAAGGACTCATTATCTCGACTTAGTATATTGTTAATAAGAAAGCAAAAAAAGTACCTGGACGCACTGCCGTCTGCTCCAGAGAGGGTTTTATCTTACTAGGGACTATCGTATTAAAGAAGCGAGGTTGCGTGTCATTATTAGCACTGGGCGCCTCCGCTGTATTGCTCTGAACAGTTGAACATATTTTGAAAAAATCACTTCTTCTGTTAGCACTTGAATAAACTATTAGTAATGAAGAATGAGAAAGAGAATCTATACTTACATTTGTATTCTTCGGCGGCATTCGCAGCACTTTTTCTACTGGCTTGCCAGAAGCCTGAAAATATGAGTCAATCAAAACTAACTGAAAACCGTAGTAGTCCCACGAAAGATTCATATTTGTAGAACTCAGATGAGGGTAAACAATACCGTGTTGTGTGTCGGGATATGATCGCTTCTTCCAGATGCATCAGACGAACACACTCCTGGAGTCCATTCAATGCCCTTGGCAACAGTCTGAAATTATGTTGAACGAATTCTTTAGCCCTCTTGATTTACAAGATCTGGATTACAGCGAGGTTCCGAGACAGCACAGCGTTATATTCAAACCTTGATCTCGGCGCCTTTGACGAAGGCAGGCGGCGCCACTGAAGTCCCCTGCTTGCTCATCGAGCGGTCGGTAATTACAGGCCCATTGAACGGGTGAGGTTTCTTTAAGGGTACAGGAGTACTCTGATGCGATTGCCGCTTTGCAGGGACAGTGACAGCATTGAAAAAAGAGACCGGCGGAGAAGACTCTTTCTTTCGTTCCTGAAAGAAGATCCCCATCACGTGTACGAAGTAAACTCACGAGAAGTAAACAACATAATCTTGTCTAATCAGAATGAACGCGTACCTTTGGTAACCAAGATGAAAAAGGAGATTCGGGCTCTTCAAGAGGAGTTGTTTCAACGGGAGTGACTTGCACAGCTGCATTGCATGTGGCTTTGACCGTTGTCGAGGGTGGAGTGTTTATCTGTTCCTCCTGCGTGTGGCTGCCAGCTTAAACAGACCAGGTTAATACAGTGTTGAGATCAGCAATACAACAAACTAGGATTAAAGCTGCGTTCATACTTTGCGTCAGCGTGCGGCAGCGTTTTGAGCGTATGCCAACGACAGCGACTAGGTAAGTATGATTACTGATCTAGCGTACACCGTCTTTTCGCTGGCAATTTGAGCCTGAACAAAGTGCCCGCGAAAAGCTGCTGTAAGCTGGCGTGAGCAGACGCAAAATTTGACGCAGCCTAATCTAGCAACAGGCAGATCAAACAGCCTTCAGAACTTACAGAAACTACAGTCTAGTTCGCTACGGACGAAAAGGCGTGTCAGGCGGCATAGGTTTGGCGCTGTGCCCCACCCGTTCTCCACCAATTGTTGAAAAAAGCAGGCGACAAAACTGTACCATATCATTCGCATCACACATTTTCTACCAGTTGTTGTCGCATACCCTTTACATTAACTGACGGAGAACGAATTTGACGCAGTGGCACACACACACACTGCCTGACACGCCCCTTCGTCCGCAGCGAATTAGCGATTACCCAACATAATAAAAAGTATTTAGTCAAACATTTAAATAATAAAAACGTAATTGGTAACTGTTTGAATAAAAGTTTCACCTGAATCAGTAGGTGTGCAAGATTTCCCATCCGAACCAGATAGAGCAGGGCTGCTGGTGAAGGTGGGTTGTTGCGTAAGATTATCAGCTAAAATAACCCACTAAGTTCGATTATACAATGGAATTTTGAATAGTAACCTTTTTCTCGAGATTTTCCATACGGACGTCCTGATGATGCTTTTTTCAGTTCTTCTAAATAGAACAAATGAGATATAACTGCGGAAGAGTTCTACTACTTCGTCTAACGCACCTTTGAGCCTCGAAATTTCAGCGAGATTTCGCTCTGCATCCGACTTCCAGTTGTTCAACTCAAACTTTAGCTTCTCACTGTCCTTGGAGAGTATTCGGGATATGCGCTCTGAATGATCAGCCCGCCGTTGCAGCTAAAATGATAACACAGTGAGAAAATGATCCGTCACACGCATTTCCAGTTAATCCCAGATACTTTTTCGTTTACTTCCTATGTAATAGTGTGCATGGAAGTATTACCAGATAACTTACATCTGTACATTCCTTACGGCACTTCTCCAGTAAGACAGTTTTCTCCGCCACAACATCTGTTAAATGTGCTCGCATTTTATCACTGATCTGACAATGCGCGCACTTCGCATTATTGGCTGCAATCGGAAATATGATGAGCAGCAATTCAATAAGAAGCTTAAAAAATGCAGGCAAGAGTGAATCAATCAGAGGGGAGGGGGCACTTTTGCCTATGACTAAAAAAGGAGCCTCGTGGTCGGTTAATCAGTTTTAGGTACAGTGATTCTGTCTGGATTACATTGTCCCATTTCTGCACAATGGATACTTTATGTGTTCCCGGGTTATTAGAATATGCCAATACTCACCAACGTAGAGCGTATCATTCAGTTTCCGCTCTGCTCTGTCCCTAGACTTATTGGCAAGGATAACGTCACGATCTCGAGCGCTTATTTCTCTAAAAAGCGCAGATTATTGTCTTTTTTTTGCTTAGGCGACGACTCTCAAAAAAGACCTTAGATATCCGTCAGCACGCTCCTCGACTGCTTCCTTCTCCTTGATGTGCAATTCAATTCGCGTCTGGAACGATATTTATGAGAGGAATTACATCAGTTTCATTAGAAAAATTCTATTTTGTAAATAATCATCTATGGGTTTACGCGAAACTGTACACTTTCGGAAACTTCTTTTTTTCAGCAAAGTTATATGAAAATTCTGAACAAAAACACTCCCGCTCAGATAAGGTTCTTGAATGATGGGAAGGGAAAGAAACGTACTGTGAGCAATCGATTTTTCCTTTCGACGTCATCAATCTTTCTCTGGATTTCCTCTTTTTGAGCCTGGAAAAAATACTCAATACTGCAATCGGAGCGAGTAAGCAAAACAAAGTTTAATACTTATGACTGCTCCCTGTGAAACTATTAGCGTAAGTATAACATCGCAGCGACTAGTTTACTCACTCCAAAAAATACGGCGAAGCTCACCAAAATATGCGAAGAATGAGAAAAACCTACTAAAATATTATCTATGCTTTTCTTTGCCTCTGCCACAAACTCCTCTTGATAGAATGAGAACTCTCGCTTCAGCACTCCAATCGTATCACGTAGATGACGAAGTTCCGATGTATACTCATCCCTGTAATCATTTATAAACTGAAGAATGGGTAGTTACATTACATTGGAACACACAAACATCAGTTTTAACCCAAAAGCATTGTGCGCACTTCAGCATTTTCACGCTTTTTAGAGCTGCATGCGCCGGAAATCTCTTCCATATCGCTTATTATCTAGATAAATGTGCTTGACAGACCTTAATAAACGATAGCTTGTTGAAAAAAATTCCACCATTACTTCCATTAAGTGATTTTTCCTAATAAGCAGCAGAATAACAGTCAAGTCAGTGCGTAAATGGGGGTCTTTGATGGCGTCCTGTCAATGTAGGTTGATCAAGCACGTCAATGAAGACGATGAGCAACCCGGACAAATTGTTCGGGGCAAATGAAGGACCACATCACAGAGCTTCATTTGCACCCAACAATGAATCATATATGCACATATGTTGTTGAATACCGCCAAATAATAAAGGTAATTCTCCAACAGAAATTGTAGCAATTATAGGTGCCTGGAGGGTCTGGTAAAGTGCAGTACGCGGTATGCAATCGGTTAACGATGAGATGGTCAAATACAAAGTAGAAGACCAACCCGAATTTCCTGATCACAGAATTCATGAGGTTAAGAACAACACGAAGGCGTTTGTTTTCTTCATGTACCCGATTAACTTCATCTATCTGTCGTTTCATAAGCTGCTGACTAATCATAAGGCGACGTGACACGTATGAGGGCAGTGTAGTTGGCTCATCAGTTGACAAACTGTAAAGTTCATATTTTCAGTGGACCAGAAAATCAGAAGTGATATTAATGCACTTACCCAGCACATTGTTCCGCCTTGCCATTTACTACCTGGTCGACGAGGATGGAGAAAAAATGAGCCCCGCCCATCGTCTGAGTACTGGATTCACTGGTACTTGAAACACCATATCCGCTAGCCATCAACGAATTCTTAAAGGTAAATTAATGAAAGCCTGGCAGTCACAAATATGATATTAATCTTATGCTCACAATATCTAGAGGGATCCGTGGTGTAGGTTCAACTGGAACTACTTCGTACACATATCCTTTCCGTAGTTTCTTTGGTGCACCTGCTGGACTCAACTAAAAATCCTCACTTCAAACATGCTCCAGAAGTCTAGCGTGAAACATTAGGTTGCCATTAATTTCTGGGACACTATCCAGTATTTAATTTCCCAACTCTTTAGCCTTCTATGCTTGATCTTCACGCTCAGACATAACCTCCGTCAGTATCCACGACATGGTGCCAACGTCGAGTGAAGGTCCATGTTAAGATCATCCTCATCAACGATTCAGCGTCTTTCCAAATGATGGGCCAAAGACCGGCACATGGAGTAGTCTGACGGGCTATGTCAGGGCCATACTGTAGGTGGCAGGAAACCATTCAGCCGAGAATGCGTCTCTCTCCGTCGTTTCCAGCATATTTGCCACTAGATCTAGTTGCTCGCAGTACATCTCAGCATTGATAGTAGAACCATATAGCAGCAGCTTACAACGGACGACTCCTTGGACATTCTCATAACCACATGAAATGCAGTCGAAGCTCTCCCACTCGAGCCACTGTCGCTTGCGCGAGAGGGTTGACGGAATACATCCACTTCCCATCTCCTGTCCTTACAAAATCCTCTCGGATCTATAGGACAGGGGAGTGTTGTAGATATCAGTCTTCATCCGCATGAGGACAAGGGTCAGAGTGTGAGGAGGAGCTAGGACACCGCCACCAGCAGCCATCAAGCAAGGCGATGGTGGAATTATGAAGGACTTAGCGTAAATTAATAATTTATACTATTGGTCTGTCAGCTCATCCAACCAAATTCCTAGAGCTCAATTTTCAACGTGTCTCAGAAATTACCAACCAACCTAATGCTAATTACACTTCTAACCTTTGTTGGATCAGAGGAGTTACTTTGTTTCCTAGAAGACGAACGTGGACTTCCTTCCTTCGGCTTACTATTGGCAGAATTCTGAAGTGTCTTTTCATTTTCAGTTCAAGTCTGATCAATTTCAACACCATTTTTGAACTGCTGTTTTAAATGGAACTGATAGTTCGTAAACAAACACTGAACAAATAGAACGAGATAGAGAAGAGAAAAGAGACATAAAAAAGATTTTCAAGCAGGAAGCTGTTTGACAAGGGACATAATTTAAAGAAATACAAGCAATCATTTAATCTAACCTTTGTTTTATTATGTACAGCAGTTTTCTTCCGACTAGTTTGCTTTTGCCTTCTACTGCTTTTTTGAGGGGTTTGCGCACTTGGCTGCTCAACAACGTTTGGTCTGCTCCACGATATTTGTTTGTTCAACGGTGTTTTCTAAAATCGTTTTCCTTCGTAAAAACGATATTGAAATTCTCAGCCGGAAAATTCCATTTGAAAGTATAATTGCAAAAGCGATCAAACGTAACAAATATGGAAATAATTTGGATGACTCAAAATCCTACAAATCCCTGTGTCTAGTAGTAATCACCGTCAGCAGGTATGTTTTCATCAGATGGTAATATTGGCAATCGTTCAGAGGTGTCTTCTGCTGCAGGAGCTAAACAATGCCAATTTCATTATGATAGCTGCTGCTTGACGTCACCGTTCACACTTCGAAAGTTGTCACAATATTGCTGAGTTATGGCAAAAACTCTTGGTCCCAGGCAAGACCTGAACACGCTCCTCACGCTTTCCGGTCGAGTGCGCTATCCGTTACGCCACCAGAGCTCCGCCTCCCAGTTTTTGACCCGTCCTTTTAGTCGCGGTAGCCTATACACACACCTACACACCCCAACGCAATGAGCCGCTCAGCCGCATTGTTAGATTTCGGCAGTGAGCCAAGAATGAAGAATTTCCAATTCTCACCACCGTAAGTGTCAGTGCTGTGAGGCTACGGCATAGAAGCTGTCAAGTTGAAGGGTGCAGGCGACCCTCGTGGCGTAACGTTTAGCGCACTCGCCCGGAAATCGGTGAGATGCGGATACAAGTCTCGACTGGGGTCAAGACTTTTCCCATTACAGCAATCTTATGATATTTGCCAATGGAGTTTATCAAAACATGAAAAATGGATTTACAAAAACCTTCTGAACATTCAGGAGCAATTGCTACAGGCGCAGCTTCGTCTGAACATTCAAGAGTAGTATCTACAGGTGCAGCTTCCTCTGAACATTCAGGAGCGATAGCTTCAGGCACAGCTTCCTTTGGGTGGGCTGGGTGGTTGTGGCTCACTTTCGATCTTGGGCAGGGGATTCCTCTGGGACCACCGATTCATTGGGCAACAGAAAGTGAACTAGCTGACCGTCAACAAGAAACTGAACTCTCAGGTGTTTGGGAAAGGTTTCTTTAAAGAAAGACCATACAATAAGGAGGAGCATGAGTAAATAAAAACGATTTGGCGAACCTTCAGGAATTTGTACGAAGGAATTAGAAACTTTATCATAAGCGTAGTAATCGCCAAAAAATTCAGCACAATCCTTCCGAGCGCAGCAGTAACGCCAAATGAAGGCTCCATAGTTGGAATCGACCAGCTGCAATAAGTCAGGGTATAGATAGAGGCAAAAGCATACTTTAAACGACTGACACGAAATTCATACCTTTTCAAATTTTCTGTAGTGTATGAATTGAGGATCTTCATTCGAACCACATTTCGGACAAAGCCCACCGTCATCAGTCTGCGTATCTAAAATCTTATCTCTTCTACCTTACCTTGCTCACGTCTTGGAAAAAAAAACATACAACGACACAAATCTAAAGGAAAAAATTACTGATGACTTTACCGTTTGAAGATCCGCCGGCGGTGTCTTCACCGTTGACCTCTTCGCTTACACCAGGTTCAGTCTGCAACTTTCAGGTTACTCTCATCATACGAGACTGGAGCTACAGTCTCAAGGAAAACCAAGTCACTGACCTCTCCCACAGGTGAAGCCTCACTGCTGCTCGTACTGGAATTACGCATTGCGTTAGCCACCTGCTCTTCTGTTGGTTCCTCGCAATCAAAGCAGATGATGTCGTCACAGCTGGTTTCTGACTGTTCCACTTCCTGCTCTGCTGAACAGGGTGCGAGCAGTTCCGGATGGCTCTGAGCCTAGACAATGGGATTAAACGGATTTTTAAAAGGGTTCACATCACATAATGAGGTATTCCTACTAGACTTTGGCGCAACTGGGACTTTGTTAAGATATATCGGATCTACATCTACAGGGAAACCCTACATCCCCGGCATTCCTCCACACACACTTTCCCACCGTAGCATTTCTTGTTCAAATCAGATTATCTGGAAGAATGGTTGTTTCACGAACCCAAACAAGTTTTAGAAAATTGTAAGTAAGCTCAATAGAAACTGACTTCTGTCCCCTAAGTGCACTATTTTACAACGGGTGGAGTTCTGTGTGTCCGGCCCCGCAGACTACAGTACTGGATCCAAAGCAACAGATCAGTAGATGCAGCTGACTAAAGACATATTCCGCCCAAACAGAGGGGTCAGTATAAGGATTGGTCGGTGGAAATTGCCTTACCAGGGAGAAAAGTGAATAGAACCGTCAACGCCCTGAATAAGGTCTCGTCAGCGGAGGGCATTCGAACAGACTAGACCATGTGCATGGTTTTGAGACCGGGGACAAATATGACGGAATAGGAAATTAGGCGAGACGACAGACAGGGTCCCTAGAGAGAAGTGAGAGCTGTACACGTCCTGATGTGCCTTTGGACCGAGATTAAGATTCCGCACTCCATAAAAGCTGCGGACTTTCTGAACGAAGTTGCTGAAGGTTTTTAGGAGCAGCACACTCACAATGCGAACAAATTTCGTGCATAAAGCTGTTCCGAATGTGAAATTCGAGCACCCTTACGCTCGAGATTCGTGCTGAAAATGAGTATGCTACCTCGGAAAAGTCGGGGCAGTTCGGCCACGAGGAGGCATTTTGCACGTTCGCTGCTTCACTAGCTCCAATTCGCAAGTCTTACTCTGGTTAGACCTACGAACTCATATGAAGCTGAAGCAAGGTCGTCGAGCTACGACCCGTCAACTCTTGTAAGCTCATGAAGCAGCTGTCCAGGTGGGTCGACACGTCGATAGCAAGGAGTAAACGTGCAAAATGCCCCCTCCCCTGTCGCCGAACTTCCCCAACTTGGCGTAGTTGGGCCCAAAACTCCGACCAGAAAGGCCTGCAGGTATCCAACAGAGTAGTAAACTTCTCTCAAACATACGTCAGTTGGTATGCATCTCATTTCAGACGACCACTTCGACCCATCAACCTTACCTGGTCAGCCGAGATCAGGTGGATCAAGCTGTATGGGTAGCGTTCTTTCTGCTGATAACGGTCGTAGCGCCCACGTCATTCCTTGTGGAAGAGGGGAGGTGTAGGTGTAGTTATGCATGTTTCCTCGCCCTCTCTGACGCAGGTCCACATGGCTCATCAATTTCACCCTAATGTAGAGCTGAGGTGTAGTATGGGGAAGAGGTTTTTAATGCATGATCGATTTGTTGCCTATGTTCTACTTGGCTTGTACGCCCTCGTTTAATTACTTCCCTCCGCATTTAGTTAGT